GTAAACAACTATGTATATGTATTTTAGTTCAGCGCGTGCAATCTTGCGTAGCTACAAACATTGAGCACGCTAAACCAAGCATAAATAGTTCAGTAGATTTTTTAGTGGGTCACAATAAATGCTGGACGTTTCAATGTATTTTAAAAATATTTTTAAGATTAGTCAAATTAGATATTTTTTGAATTAGGTAACTAAAAATGATGGGTTATGTTAATATACTAAGACAAGCTCTACTAGTTTCAAGTGACAGAGGGACTCTTCCGGTATAAGTATGTCTCACGATTTTATAAAAACATAGTTAAATTTTGTCTTAAGAATATTTCTGATTTAGAGGGAAACTCATAAATATGCAAAGTTTTCCATTCGGAGGAAATTAGTAAAAGTAAAATTACAATATATATATATCTACACTTTGATGCATCTTGATAACATGTATTGTAATTATCTTTACCCCGTTCAGTTCACCTACCTATGCTTTGTACGATCTAGATTCAGACCGAAGACCGATGGTTAATTCACGCACCCTCCGAGATACGTTTTACCACAGACCTCCAGATCCGGGAACGGAACTTTGGACTTGCGAGGTTAGTATACTTAAACATGAACAATGTATGTATATTTAAAGAGCTTTTGCTCATAACTTCTAAATAAAAATGGGATTAGCGAGAAATAATAACATCAATTTTGCATTTAATTTTATAATAGGACATAGGTATTAGTTAGGACGTGAACAGCAATATCCACTTCATATTTTTAAATAAATTTAGTAGGTAAATGACAGCATCATTTTTAATCTATGAAAAGATAAATAGAGCTCTCTTTGTTATTTTTATTATGGGCAACTATCTAATACTAATTCATTCATAACACAATAGATTTATTCCCCGAAATGTGACTTTTGAAAAGTTGACAACACGGTTGGTGCGTTAGCTGGTTGGTTCGATTCCCGCACGGAACAACTCTTTGTGTGATCCACAAATTGTTGTTCCGGGTCTGGGTGTCATGCGTATGTGAAATTGTAAGTTTGTAAACGCACCCACGACACAATAAAAATAAAAAAGTGTAGCAGATGTCCGTACCTATATTACCTCTAGATACATATAACGCCTACTTTATTGTTATGTTATAATAATTTGTTAAAAACTGTAATTCAATTAAAAACAAACATCTATTTTTTAATATCAAGGTAAAAGTTAATTCAACTCTTTTTAAATTTCATAACAAACAGTATGACCAAAAATTCTATTTGAAAGAAGTCTCCAAACAGAGCGAAACATTTTAAAACTTCACTACTAAACTTAAGTGGACAAACTCAATGTAATAACGAACTTTCGTCGTTTTTAATGACGTAACTAGTTAAACTCACAACGAAAAGAACAAGTTTAACCTCTTTTGTGGTATTTATAAAGTAAATATATGAAATAGTCTTAAATATTTACTTAAACCACAAACCTATATTTATAAAAATGAATCCCTTGGTCACGTCATCACGCGTGAACGGCTGGACCAATTCCACTTTGTTTTTTTTTTGTTGTATTGCTAGGAGAAGGTTCTTATGGCAGAAAAAAATGCTGAAAGTCCTACGGGTAAGGGAGAAAACGGGACTACATGACTTATTAGATAAAATAGATGTATGTTTAAACAATGAAAATTCAAAATTGACAAGGTTAGGTTAGAGTTAAAGTCAAAGCATTCATTTCAGTTAGATCAACACAGATACTTTTAAAAGTCAAGACTACTATTGGAACAAAAATATTTATATTATTATTTATATCTGTTGGGTTGTTTATTTACAGTAAATCTCAATAACTACTGTTGGCTTTAAAGAAGCTTAGGTAAATGTGTCAAAGTTTAAATTCTTATCAAGAATAAGAGTATTGAGGCAACACCTGATACAGCTCATAAAACAGTGACTCAAGCAGCCTTTGCAGAATTATACCACACAATCTACACTCAATCAATTATTCGTTATAAAAACTCCATCACACGACATTAAGTATGTAAGATAACAATAATCTCAAAATTTAGCTAGTTGTAGCTACATATCTAGTATCTATGGTGGTATTTAGATACATATTTAATGATCCATACAACTAACGGGTCGCAGAGAACCTGACGGGTAACCGGGGCTCCGGGTCGACGTCCAAGAGAAGGAATGGGGTGATTTTTAGTCAGTAAGAGTCTGACACTCCCTGTCGCCTCACCCAGGCGGGAGAGCAGTCATTCGATGATTTTCCCCCATAAAAAACAAAAAAAAAATACAACTAACGGGTTACCCACTGTCAATGACGAAACTTTAACAAATAAAGAATTACAAACTCCATACTAACATGAGAATACTTATGCCAAATAAATTGGGTTACTCAACTGGTACTGCTCAATCAGTCGATAACTTATACATAATCAAAAGTTGTATCCATATCCTATAGACACAGCAGACCTTTAAGATCATAGATATAATAAAAAAAAGAAGATACACTGTATACGTATATTCGTATCAAGATCAAAGCTGACGAGATCATATTTTTATTCCGCCGTCTTTTAGCCCGCTGCACTTTGCGTCCGAAGAAATGAAGAAAACATCAAAGTACGACTCAGAACATCTTTCCAGGGCTTTCTGATTGCTTATACAAAGTTGTTTTATGTATTCACCACAATCATACCTGTTTATTTTTGTTATTTTATTATTTACATATTATTATTGTGTATTTTTATCATATAGGTAGGTACCTTGTAATAGATATTTTGAGACGTGAACACAATTCTTTTTAATCTACATAATTCGGTAGCGAAGAAGTGTCATGAACCGATGTATTACGGTAAATAACTAGTCGTCATTGGAAAAGAAACTCATGAATTACAATGAGCATTTTTATGAGACTAAAAGACATTTTTTTCTTAAATCATTTGGTAATCTGCAAGATACCATATCCAAAAAGAACAAAATGTTTTTTACCGAAAATACCAAGTTTTGCAAATCATTCCAACACAATTATTTTCTATAATAATCATATTTTAATTACTATTACTAAAAGAACATAGTGCAAGCAAACAACCGAGCTCAAAAGATGGTGGAAAATGATGAGATCTCAAAAGGGTTGACGCTGACGCTATGGAGCTCATAACTCAAGTGTCAAGTCACAAGTTATGATATAGTTGACGTGTGACGGAAAAATCTGTGCAGTGCTTTCTTTGTGGAGATAGATCGGTGTGTCTGTGTATGTGTGTGTGCTCGTAGACATTGTCACTGACGACAGTGATTGTCAAAGATGTAGATGATTTATTTATGAATGTGTTGTTTATGAAGTTTATGTAGTAGTTTATCAGGGCCTTTAGCCAAACGCCACTTAAGCGCTTGTCTACAGAGAGAGTAGAAAACTAAATGTATGGGGATGACACTGACGAGTGTCAAAATTTACGTCAATTCCATATAATTTGGTTTTCTATTTTAAATGTAGACAAGCGCTAAATGGCATTTGGCTACAGCTGCAGTTATCACGAGCAAAATACTCAGGAATAGCACGGAGTCGATTTGTACCTTACCCTCATAACATAGTTGCCGGAAAGCAAGTGTTAACATTTAATATGTTCAGTATTCATAGCTAAATTAAAATTCACAGTATTTTATTATTAACCTAAACAATTGAAATGAATTTAAAGTAAGTGAAAACCGAATTGTTATTTCAATATAACCAAAATATTACTGTTCCAAAGTTTATTGTGGTATTCCCGATATCGACAAAATAGCTTAGTTTTTGTTACCCAAAAATATAACGCAATATGACGTCGCTTCGGGGATCGCGATTTTTGAATAACGTAACAAAGAGACGATACATTTCCAATTTTATCATGAAACCGACCAATAGAAAGATAGGTTGTCGACAGTTTAAAATAACCAAATCTTATATCATTTATAAAAGATTTACTAAAACAAAATCCAATTCTACTATTTTCATATACCGAAGCATTCGAAACAAAACACCAAAAAAAACAAAATAACACCAAAAAAGTATCAAAAAAGGAAATGCAAGTTGATGCATTCACGGTCTAAATGCCTCAAAGAGTAGCACTCATAATCTTCCACGTTCAGCATTCTCATCTCAACATAGGGTGTTTCTCATATCAACTACGGTGTCGCACTTTCTTTGTTCTCACTACCTTTGAATAATAGAAGAGAAAACAGGAATTAAACCTTCCATTTTGTGACGTAAGCACGGATTCTGTAGTTGTGCAGTATGGCAACCTCTTTTTACATGGGGCTCAAAACGTAGCTTGTGAAAAATAGGTTTCAAATTAAACATGTCCACTGTCCACCTCTGAGTACAATTCTCGAGCATTACAATAAAAGTCGTGATGTTATTTTGAGTCGTATATTTTCCGTATATGGCCTAATCCGGCTTCCAAAAGTCACGTTTTACACGCAAGAATAAATTATAATGCCTCCCGTATTTAGAATTATTACATTTATTTTTCAAACTGTGATTCGTAAAAATTGCGTAAATATTTTAAAAAGGTTTTGGATTTTTTTTTCGACGTAGTTACGAACCTTTTTGCGAATTGTCTGCAAATGTCAGGTTTTTTTATTTGTATTCCGTTTTTGGTTTATATAAGATAAGTTTATGGAGTTTATATAACAATTTAGACGATGATAATTATTATTTAACTTTATTGTACGGGCTTACTGTCGAGTTATTACTAAAATACAAGTGATAATAATATTAAATATCTAATATTGGAATTTATTAGTTTTAAGATACCTAATGTGTCATTCCGTTACAATATGGAAAAACGAAGGGCCATGTAGTTGACGAAATGTTTGAAAAGTATAAAAATATTAATACACTAGTTAAGTAACATTACAATGAAGAGTAGCAAAACATATTTTATTTTACTAATTTAAACATGAAAAATAATGCGTGCATTCATTTGTTGCAAGATCATAAAAAATAATTGTGTTAATTTAAAATTATAGGTTTTTAAATAATATCTAAAATACTTACCAGTTGAGAAGATTTTTCGAAGTAATAAATAAATTCACTAACACTTTTGTTATTCCATTCACAATTTCATAGTAATAATAAATTGTAAATATTTTCCTAATTACAGTAAATTAATTACTAATCTCTATATTTATTCCACTTATCTAAATTCCAATAATTAATTGTAACAACTAAAAATATTCTTTAAAAATCACTTTGAAACTAATTTAAAACTTTTACCACATAAAGAGTTCACATCGTCATTCACAAATTATCAATTATCGCGCAATAAAATCACGCCATATTGCCACAGATTACAATTTACTGCTTATTTTTTTAATGTAACTTTTTCGTCGGCGACGATAGTGGTGCGTACAGCCGGCCGCGCCGCTCGAGTCGTGTACGTGAGTGCTACGTCGGAGTGACACTGCTGACCCGGCGCTCTCTGATCGCGATTTGAGTTTCGAACATGGATTCGCGCAAACGTCAAAATCTAACCTTCACGTGCGTTAATTTTTGAGAGTCAGATAACGAAACATAACAATGGATTTAGATAATTATTTTAATGAATTTGTTTAACATGAAAACGTAACCCAATATGCACGCCTTAACATTATTTATTTTATGTAAACAGAACATTTGTACCTACAAGGTCTGCTCATAATAAATTTAAGAATATACCTACTAAAAAGGTAGGTATTTAGTTTTTTCATTTAATTAAATTTAGAAACAATTTTATTCAGGCTAGATTTCAAGGATTGGCTGAGTTAGTTTAGAATTTTTAATTTTTCTTCTTATTTTATTAATAGAAGAGATACAAAGTTAATAAAGGCAAGCTGTTGCGGCGGCGTGGGGGCGGTTTTTTCAATACCGAGCAAGTTAAGACTTGTACTGAGAAAAGATTCAGGAGTATCTACTCAATTATGATAATTTTATTGGTAACGCCGCGGATATTCGCGTCTCGGGTAACACGGATATAAAGATTTCCTTAGGAGCTTCTTATAAGAGTATAGGTGTGTGGTTTTCCTTCCGGGGTCTATAGCGGCATTGTTTTGTAAAGCGTCTTGCTATTTTTGTTTAGTTCTTTGTTGTTATTTCCTTTTACTCGTATTGTGAAGAATCGCTTTGTCCCTTTCTACCATTCTTAATCCGTTAGATTGTTATTTCGGTTCGAGTCTGACTGTAGGACTAATCCTCATGATATTCTTATACTTAATGAAAATAGTTTTGTTAGGAAAGAAATATTGAAGGAAATTTAGTCTTTAATAACGTTTTCAGACACGTCACGTTGTTATAGTCTTTTGTGGCACAATAAAAAGTACCTAGTTTATTTTTAAACGACATACGAAATAGATAAAATATCTGTTCCATGTGACGCTCAAACGAAAATTCACAATTCACATTCGTACAGTAACCAAAAGAGACAATGGTTGAATGTCAGTTCGTTCATTTTTGTGCCAACAAATAGTTGGATAGGAACTGAGATGAAACCGCTGACGACTAACATTCCGATAGAAGTGCGCTCCTGCAAAGATTAATCTGTAAAAACTTTTGTCGATCAATCAAGGTTTCCATTCTACAGTTCTACATTCAATTCTGAGAGTTGATTCAGGTAAGGACTTGAAAGCAATATAATCATTTATTCTAGAGAATAATACCTAAGTATGCTTAAGAGGCAATTTTTTATTGTTCTAAAAACTATAATTATTATAATAATTGCTTAAAACAGAGCCAGTTCTTATACACAGAATTTGCGTTAAAAACTGAATAAAAGTAAGTAGATTATAAGTCCTGTCAACAAACAAATACAGTTACACAAAGAATTTCCGTTTAAAAGAGTAAGTAGATTATAAGTGTTACCTGTTAAGCAACTTTATTGTCTCTTAATGTACTGTGCCAATATCCATAAACTTTAGTTAATTTTCCAATTAAAATACGTAAGGTAAGCTTATTAATGCAATTTAAATAGACCGGTTCAACCAGAGAAGTACCATCTTCTCATAGAATACCAGCGCCAGTGGTGGTGTCTAGTAAGAAGTGTAAAATAGAGTTTTTTATGAATTTTTACTTGTTTTAGTAGTAGTCGGCTGGAGCTGTTTCATCTTGTCGTCATTTTAGGGGCTGCTCCTTTCCTAACGAACTACTAGGAACTATCCTAGTAGGAACGGGGTGGTTTTTAGTCAGTAACCCTCCCGCCTCGACCAGGCGATAGATGTCATTCGGTGATCCCCCATTAAAAAAAACCTTTTCCTAATATAAGTGTAATATTACCAGCACAATTATAAAGTAAAATTACAAATACAATCATAATATATAATAACATAAATAAGTTTATTGTACTTAGAAGTCAAAAATAGCGTTATCATTGTACCGTAATATTCAAGGTCTAAAGAAAGTCTTACTTTGAATCCCCTTTCGCTACTCCCACGCCACCCTAGAAATAAATTAATCAATTTAAAATTAACAATTTCTAACACCGGATTTGATTAATTCTAACTCACGAGTACACTTGGGTAGATAACGTTATCGTGTATATCAACACTCGTGCGCTGGTCATATTGTAATTCTACTAACTCCGCTCTTGTGAGCGTAACAATCCGGATAACATACGCACATTGTACCTACGACCTACGTATGCACATAAATACATGGTGCATTATTTTTTTTATGGCAGTAAACGGACAGATAGATTACTTGATCATCATCAACAGCCTATAAATGCCAGCTGCTGAGCAAAGCCTCTTCTCACATGGAGAAAGTTTGAGCATTAATCACCACGCCTGCTCAATGCTGGTTGGCGATCACAAACTTATAATTAGAAATCATAAGGCCAGGTTTCCTCACGGTGTTTTTCTTCATCGACTGTCAGTGGTGTCTAGGTAATCTTAGAAAGTACATGTAGGTTAGAAAAAGCCACATTGGTACTTGCCGTTGGTAGGTTTCAAACACGCACTCTCATGTATGAAAAGCTGGCGTCGTAAACCTCCGGGCCACCACGACATTTTTTGATGATGGTAAGCAATAGTGAACGTCTTGTCGCTGATATGATAATAAGAATGATGAAGCATTTGACGCAAAACGGCCTTTTGGAGAAATGGATTTGAGAATTGGCAGTGCACATTCATTTTATTAATGTTTTTAGACGTAAGAACGTCTTTCTTGTACTCTTAAAATTCTTACTCGTCTGTCTACTCATAAAGAAATTCGTGTACTCTTTTTTTTTTTTTTTTTTTTATGGCATAAGCCGGTAAACGAGCAGACGGATCACCTGATGGAAAGCAATCGGCGTCGCCCATGGACACCTGGAACACCAGAGGCGTTACAAGTGCGTTACCGGCTATTTGTGGATTAGGAGTTTGAGGATTGTTGGGGATTCAGGGATTGGGGAGATTGGGAAAGGGGGAGGGGAAATTGGGCCTCCGGTAACCTCACTCACACGACGAAACACAATGCAAGCGTTGCTTCACGTCGGTTTTCTGTGAGGCCGTGGTATCACTCCGGTCGAGCCGGCCCATTCGTGCCGAAGCATGGCTCTCCCACACTTAATCTTGTACACGAATTGGAATATATTGGTACATGAACGCAAGCTAAATACCATATAGCATCCTTTCGTTAACCAAAAGGTATTATGTTATGAATTTGGAACCGTGCCCAGTCTACGGCAATAGGCTTGTCCCTTATATCAATCTCAGTCCGGACTGAGATTTATAGCAAATAAAACACAGCCTACCATTCCAGGGAATCACATGTACATACATTGTACATATTGGTACTACATAACATAACATCACGCCTTTTTATCAGAGTAGTGTTTATAGGCAGAGGTGCACATTACGGCACTTAATACGACTGTATATGTAACATCCACTTTTCATTATTATGTTATGAGTGTCATGTAATAGGAGGTGAGCCTATTGCCATATACCGAGCACAATCCCAGAATCCGTGCAACTACTGAGATTTTTTAAAAACCTAGTAATACTTTGCCCGACCTGGGAATCGAACCAGAGACCACTTGCCTCGCAATTGCGACCACCCAGCCAGCGAGGCAGTCATATTGGTACTAAACAACAGATAAACACGACCATTATTGTTGAATATTTTATATGTATATGAAATTATCACAGGAGTGAAACCGCAGTGCAGAGCTAGTGTAGACTTATGAGGGAACTTTTGTATGAATGTTGCACTTAAACATTTGTTACGGAACCCTCACACTGTCGTGTCGTTTGTAGATTGCTGCTCGGTAGAAACGACGCCTGCACAGAACACAATGCCAAATTGTGTGCAACTGTGCAGTTATTTCAGCACTGTTGTTTGTTATTCCAAATAATTCTCAGGGAGTGTTCTAAATTAATCCATTTATAATTTTGTTTGAAGTCGCTGACTAGTGTGAAATTTGAGACATGTGTATTCAAAGAACTTACAGAATTCGTACTGCGATACTGTAATACGATCTGTGATCATTTAGCACTAAACATTTTTAATAATAAATCATAGAATATGTGTAATTCTTTAGACAGACCTCTTTCAATGTAACTTTTGGTTAATATAGACAAAAATCTCCAAAAAATCCAAGTAGCCCAAAGAGCAGTAGAAAGGAAGCTAGACCCTGAACCGCAAAAGATACCGGTGGCTAAGATAGCAGCGTAAAGTCAAGGACGTCACACAGCATATCGCGATACTTAAGTGGGAGTGGGCTGCTCACGTTGTACGTAAACAGGGTCCGTGGTGCAAAGCCGTGATAGAGTGGAGATCGTGGGGCGAAAAACGCCCACAAGGAAGACCCCAGATGCGTTGGTACGATGATATCAAACGAACAGCTGGCACGAAATGGATAGAAATTGCTCAAGACCGAAAGAGATGGCAGAAACTGAAGGAGACCTTCACCCTAAGGGTAGAAAAAGGCTAAAGAATAAGAAGAAGAAGATAAAAATATCTACAGATAGGCTTATTCTGAAAATAAAAGATTAGTAAAAATAACAAAAATAATCTTCCAAAAGGCTAGACACATAACAGTCGACATGATAATTTTCCTTACTTTAGGGACTTCTATTCTAGTCTTCCTCAAGTTCCTTAACTCATAAATAAAATAGACTAAAATATTTCCGTCTCCTTAAATATAATTATCTGTACTAAAATAGATACTTAAATCAAGATTTAAACTGCTAACAATGATGTCAACTTTCAAATACAATTTATGTGATTGAGTAATTCAGTTCTATTTAGTTAAGTTTTGGCAAATATTATGATTAACGGGCTGTAGCAGGTTTGCAAATTCATTGTACGCTTGACGTGTGGATTAACTCTCTTAATATTTTTATTTGACAAATACAATTATAGCAGCAAGAAAATAATTGTGCATTTATATTTTAAGTGGTGTTGTCAGAATGCAATAGTACCTACATTTATCACT